CCGCCCAGCCCTCTAGTCTGTCTAGGTCTCTGATGTCTGGTCTGTCAACTACTCCTCCCAGTTTTGTGTCATCAGCAAACTTGCTGATGATCCCTCATCCAGGTCATTGATGAATATATTGAACAGCACTGGCCCCAGCACCGACCTCTGAGGGACCCCACTAGACACAGGCCTCCAACTGGACTCTGCTCCATTGACTGCAACTCTCTGACTTCTTCCCTTCAACCAGTTAGTGACTCAGCTCACTACTTGGTCATCCAGACCACACTTCCTCAGTTTACCTATGAGGATGCTGTGAGAGACGATGTTATAATCTGGTTACATGCAGGTGAAAGCAGTGGTGTGTCTGACTTGCAGTGTTGCTCACTATGTCGTGTCAGTGTTTACATTTACACCTAGGAGACTGAATCTCTTGTACCCATTAATGGGGTTAATGGGTTTTGGTTCAGATTTGCCAAGATCCTGCTGTTATCTTACTCACCGTCTGCCGTCAAGCACTGCTGAGGCCAAGATTTGCCAAAGACCTGATCAATGCTTTCCCCGTGGCGCACCACCAGCACGCCTCTTCGCAGGGTGGCATTCTGAAATGGATGTGTAAAAAAGGTTTGATGGTTTTTCATCATGTTATTAGATATATAACCTGCATGAAAAGTTGGGATTCCTGGATGCTGCCTGATGGAGGAAGGAGCATCAAACCTGTTCTGGGAGATTAGTAACAAGCACAGATGGGATGAGAAAAAGGCTGCTATAACAGATGCCTGTCTTTAGGACAAGCAAGCCTTACTGACTCTCCAGTGAGGGCAAACGAAAGAGATCCCTTGTCTTCATGGGCTACAGGTAAGATTTTAACTTTGTGTTTATACTAGTGAAAGGTAGAGCTGATAAGAGATCTTTTAATTCCAGCATGGGAATGAATTATGATTTTAACATGTATCATATGGTGGATATAAACAAAAGGAGTAAAATAACTAAGATTTAAGTGGTCATGCTCTTTTTTACACCAGGATTAACACCAAGCTTGTCCTTCTTTTCCTAATAGAAACACTAGTTCTATATTTTCATAACTGTGTGGTTAAGTCAACAGTGAACACAGATCTCTGAGGCCACTATTTTACTCAGACTGCATAGAATTACACGTAAGTTCTAAGTAGTTTGGGGTTAGTATACAATGCATGTTAAATACAGATGAGAAGATAAGGATGAACAGGTCAAAGGGTTTAAAACTTTTTTGACAGTAACCCATCACAGTGTTGCTGCTGCAGCACTAGAGTTAGTGATGTGTATCTTCAGCAGCAAAGAAGGAAATTCTTAAGAAGTGATATGAGGTTCATATTCCTGTTTTCTAAACGACATTGCATTTCTACCATGAAACACGAATCAACTGCCACAAGATCAGAGTTTAAAACTGAGGCTTTGTGGTCTTGCTCTTCTGCTTGGGAGGAACCCACAGGCTGGGGAAACTCTACACTGAAGACATACACATCTGCAAAATGTGTTCCTCAGACCAAGAGGTGGCTCTGACAAAGATTTGAGCTAGATAAGAGGGGCCAAGAACAATCAAGAACCAGTAGCAAGACATGTGACTTGTGCAGAAGTTTCTGTCTTCTGCACAGTGTCCTGGGAGACCCCAGGATGGAAGTTCCCTCAAGGTGCCCTCAGGTTTCTTTGATGTTAACACAAATGAACCCAGGATTATCCTTTAGCACAGCGAGAAGAGAGGCTGTGGGGCCAGAAAACCCAAAGAAATTTCTGCATCATGTCAGTGTGTTGGAAGTAACTGTCTTGGCATCTCTGACAGAGCCAATAAGGCAGTGCAGGTACAAATGTGCTGTAGGAAGAAAACCAATATAAACAGAGTCCTTATTTGTCTTGCCCTTCCTGCCAGGAGACCAGTGGAAAACCTGGGGAACAAAAAAACCACAAACCAACCTATTGATTTTGAAACTGGAACAAAAATAAGATCCCATTAGTGCTGCTAATCTTTCCAACTAGCCGTTCTCTTGCTGCAGTTCTAGGCAGTCATTTGCATTAGCTATGTGTCTAAAAATAAAAAAGGTGAAATTTTCACAGAATCACAGAATGTTAGGGACTGGAAGGGACCTCAAAAGATCATCTAGTCCAATCCCCCTGCCGGAGCAGGAACACCTAGACGATGTTACACAGGAACGCATCCAGGCGGGTTTTGAATGTTCTCCAGAGAAGGAGACTCCACCACCTCCCTGGGCAGCCTGTTCCAGTGTTCTGTTACCCTTACTGAGAAGAAGTTTCTTCTCAAATTTAGGTGGAATGTGCTAAGGTTCAAATGTGCTAAGATCTGAGATGATGTAAACCACCAAGGTGACATCCATAGAATCTGGACATTAAAGTAACAATAAACAATGAGCCTAATTCTGCTATAGCTACTCTGCTACGAGCTCATATAAAAGTCGACTGAAGTTATGCCTGCACCTCACTTGACAGACTTGTCACCATACCTCTGCACAGCTTGTCCAGGAAGGCTGTGCACAGAGAAACCTGAGCAGACAACTCAGACCTTGTGCTATTATGACAGGAGTGAAAAGAGTTTTATGAAAGAAAGTGAGGATAATATACATCATATGTGTTACAAAATATTTATGAGATGTTGTGAGACAGTATGAGTGTATGAGAGTGTATATAAATATATATATTACAGCATAACTTAAGGAGAAAAAGAAAGATACTATTAAATTTATGAAATGCTTTTAATTAATAGTATATCTGCATAGGCACATGGCAAAGTCAAGAAACAGAAAAAAAAGCCCCAACCAGTTACCTGAAGTACATTTGTTGTGCTCCTTGACATACTTGGATTATGGACTTCTCCATTCAGCTTTCCCTTAGGTTCATTTTCAATTTGGGTGAAGAATCTTGAAGCTGTTACAAAAACATATTCCCTGTAGGAAAAGCAGAAGCAACACACACACACACAAACATACAGGTGCATACACAAATAGAAGGTATTTGTAAGTCATGATTTTATCTAAAGACATGTAAGTCAGGATTCATGTTCCATTCAGGACTTTTTTCACACTTGCAATCCACTTCATTGCTTTGCTCTTGACTTAGAATTTTCTCAATAAAGATGAGGTTAAAATACTATGAATTGATCGTATGTATTGGGTGTAACTCTGCTAAAGCATGACCTTCAGGCAGGAAATAATGCCTGGCTGCCTCCTCTCTGCCTCTGAGGATTCAGCAACAAGTGCACCTACACCTCCCTGCTTAGAAAAATCAGCTTTAATCTACAAGCAGCATCAGCCATGCTGTCACCTGCAGAGCAAAGTGCAGGAAGCCAGAGAGATGCCTGCTGATACAGGGTAAATCAACTTGTCTTGTCAACAAGGCAAGGGTGGGCTCAAAGTGGTGGAGTAACCTTTATGTGGTTTCATTTCAAGTTAACTTTGCAAGCTCTCGAAATGAGAAAAAAGTAGCAAGCAGTGAGCCAGGCTGAAGGCTCAGCCTGCCCAGCAGAACATGGTCTTTTAAAATTCATTAGGATGCTCGGGTTGTTCGAGAGCAAACAGGGGTCATCCCTTGAGCAGCTGAACTAATGAACTCCGTGTGTCTGTGTGTGTGTGCCCTATCTCTTCTCTTTCAGAAGTCTCAACAACCCACTCAGGCTGGATCCTCTAGGACCCCTCTCTCCTCTGCCCACGCCACCCCCAGCTCCCACCTGGCAGCCCACAGCTCACAGCAACAAGAGATGCTGCCACGGCTCCCCATGACGTAGAGCAACCTCCGTGAAACCCCGACCTACCTGTGCTTAACCCATGTGTCTGACTCGTTGGCCCTCTCCATGTAGTTCTCAGGAAGAAAACCCCTGCAGCCAGTCCGATGCGAGGTCCCGATCACCCAGCCTTCACTCACATCAGTCTGCTGTGTCGGGTCAACGTAGATGAAGTCTCCGGTGTTGATCATGAGTTCATCGATGTTCTGGGGCTTGTACTGGAAGAGGGCCCTCAGTGTCTGGGGGGAACATGTAGCAGGGTCAGGCTGCTGCCCAGAGCCCGCTGCTGCCTGTGCCGCAGAGGGTCAGGGGGTGCTTGCTCAACTCTTTACTGGACACAGCGACCAGTACCATCTTCCACTCTGCAACGTGCTCTTTGATGGCACTTCAGCAAATTAAAAGGAAGACACTACTGCATTTGCAGTATGTGTGAAAACAGGCACTCTGTTTTCATAAAAATACTTTTTTTTCCTGTAGGAACTTATGGCAAAGAAATACACTGATCTGATTAAAAAATGTTGATCATTCCATAATTTAAATTTGGAAATGAGAACTGGAAAAATGTCATCTGTTTTTAACCAGGTGTCTGTTAAACATAAAATCACCATTGAGAACTGTGCCCTGCTCATTGATATTTAATGTGTGCAGTTTTCATCATAGCTGGAGCAATCAAGAAAATTAATTTTGCTGAATGGAGTTTTACTGCAAAGTTGTGATCTTGCAAATTCTAGCAAATATTCTAAGATCATAATTTCCTGTCTCTTTTAGTTTCTCACAGTAAGATTAGGTGTTTCTTCTGGAGTTTAGAATGAGAACTTGCTGACACGCAGGTCAAGCAGCCTTCCATAAACATATCTTCTACTGATTCATGATGACAGTACCTGGTAATGTACAAAGCGCATGTCCCGTGAGTAGAGAACAGCTACCCACTGACAGGTCTCCCCGGGGTTAATGCATTTGGCCAATTGTTCCAAGGTCTTCTGATGGTGAGGATAAAACTTGTGAGCCAAGGTAAGGTGGATCTGCTTTAGGCAGGGTTTCACATGGCAATCTAGAAATGAAGCAATCGTGTTACAACATAGAAGTGAAGGTCAATTAAAACTCCTCTTTTTGTTTTGTCCTACGTGCTTTGCACAATGCAGGAATATCATAGTAATTAGCAATAGCATAGATCATAGTTTTGCTGAATAGTTTTGCAGACTGTCATGCATTTAAACATGCTGAAATAATTCACAAATCTGCACTGGATTTGCTCCCTGGCTTCAGCAGGGAGACAAAAAAAATGAATAGGTCTTGAATTCCTCCCCCACCTTGAGATGTATTGAACTTATTTCTCCCAGACAACGCTGTCCTGGGTCTGTGTCCCTTCAGTCTCCACTGGTGGTGCAGTTTCCCTTGGATGTCACTGGAGAGGGGGTTAGGGGATATTTCTTAAGGATGCAATCAGGCCGTCAGGCTGGGTCACAGCACCATGGACATAGAGGTCTGGGAACAGGGAGTATTATATTCTTGCCCATGTTGGATATCCCAGTTGTTGGCTATGAAGCTACACAGCCAACCATTTCAACTTCTAGACAAAAGCACTGTCTTCAAAGTCTGAAACATGCTCCCCTAGCCATGTTATTTACAAGCATGTAGGCAAAATGGGTGCTTTCCAGCAGTAAAACATCAACTAAGCTCCCTCAGAGGCAAAGGAGATGTTTTCCATACCATGCCTAAGCATTTGTGCTACAACCCACGCATTTTCCCTCTGACATTGGTCCTACCTGCCAGAGACGAAGCCTCTGATGAGAACGCCAGAGCAAACTCTTTGAGAATATTTGCATGGCTGTCACCAATGAAGAAGCCAAGGTAGCTGGTGGATGAATGTAGTGTTAGGGAAATGGATGGTGGAAAGCACTGTGAAAACCTGTCACCGACTCGCTTTAAGGTGTCATACAACAATTCCACTTTCTGGTCTTCACACTGAAAGAAAACAGAGGAGGAGCAGGCTTTACTCACCGGCTCAACAGCCACTGTGTTAGTCTGTGTTATACAGTAGTACCAGAAAACAGTGTGGGAATTACATTTCCTGAGAAAGACAGCACACCTGTGAATTTGCCTGAAATTCTTGGTATTAGAATCAGTAATATTTGGCGGTTTGATCAGCACAGTATCCTGGTGCTGTAATAAGAGATGGAGCCTGAGTAGGAAAGGGACAAAAGATTTTACCATCTGACAGGTGTGCAGGAACTTGTCTGAAATGAGGCAGAGATCTTTATTTTCCCTCTTCAACTCTAAGTAACAATTTGTGTTACTGTTATCCTACAATCCATAACAGAAATTGCTCCTGCTAAAACTTGAAGATCTCAGTGGTTGAGTAACATACCTAGCAAAATTCATAAGGCTTCTTTCTCATTACCATCCTTAATGCTCTCATCACAGAAAATTAAAGAATTGCAGAGAAATATGCTTCCACAAAAAAAAAAAGTGGCAATTAATCAATTTAGGAAGTGCAGAGGCAAAGATTTGTGTCATCCAGCCAAATACAAAACAGTAACAACGCTCCATTTCTGTGCTGCTTTATTCACCGCCACTGAGCTATCTGCTCTATTTAGCTGTTACACTGTGTCAAGCTGCTGAAGGGGAAGAGCAGAAAGAGAAGAAAGGAGCTCCTCCATCTCCTGCACTGGCAGACTGGACTGTGGGGAGACAGGGGCGAGTGAGATCCTGCAGCCATGCAGCAGGCTGCTCTGGGGCCAGCAAGTCCAGAAACTGCGAAGACATGGGGAGATGAGAAATAGGAGCGGGCCAAGTCAGGAGAATGAGGTGGGAGCCAGGTCAGTGAGTCTCACTTTCTGCCTGTGAGGCACCCAGGTCAGCTCTTGCTGACAGCTGAGGAGCAGAGAATAGCACTGGAGGGTGCATTTATCCCTAGAAATATGCTACCTGAAACACGGCTGAGGTGCATGAGGTGAAGGTTGCAATTCAGTCTTCTTTTCCAGGGGCAGGTCTTTAAACCTGACACCTTTCAACAGCATGGCATTTGCTATCAATTGATGATTTTAGTTCTGAATAATTGTGATTAATGGCCACAGGGTACCCTGCTACACAATATTTGCAACAAAATAGCTTTATTTTCATTCTCTGTACTTAGCAGTACGGTTTAACATGGAACTATGATTGATTAACATAGTAATTTTGTCTGTTTCAGCACATCTCAGCTGCAGCTGATGTTGATGTGCAGAACCATCAGCATGTGAAAACTGAATATCAGCTGACTCCAGAGTTTTTCCAGACCTTTGCCGATACTGGCACATTCACTCATGTGGAAGAAGCAGCTTTGCTGGGAAGTTACCCTTTATTCAGCAGGCCAGCTAGGAGGACAGTAGCATCTCCAGAACCAGAAAACAGCCCACCAGGAGTCCAGCTCAGGAGCTTAACTTCCATGTTAAATTATTGACCAAGTGACTCAATTGCACTGCCAGACTCCAGTCCAGCTCCCTTTGCTCCTTCCATCCCTGCATATTCTGCTTCTTTCTTTTTCACAACATCTAAGCTTCAATAAAAAGGGTAAAGACTGGGACACACCACCATAGTAGTGATATTCTGGCTGGGGCTCTCTAAGGAGGGCAGGGGGTTTCCCTGAGATTCCCATGGGCATAATGTCAAAGTTGTCTATATTGTATGATAATGCTGTCACTGCTGCCCAGCTGGCCACTGCTGCCCTGGCCAGGAAGGTTTAACATCCTAGATCGATGCAGCAATGGGCATGGTCTGTCTAGCGTGCCGTTAGCTCAGTGTGAGGAGGAGTGCTTCCCACTGGCAGGTCCATGTGCAGGATGGACTGCACGAGGCTGATCTAGACCGATGCCAGACACATGTCACTCAGCTACTCTGAAGCATCCTACTGATCCCAGCATCCATTTTTTAGGCATGCTGAGGCCTAAGGTGGGAAGCTAAAGTGGGTGGTGGTGAAACACTGGCACAGGTTGCCCAGTGAGGTGATGGGGTCCCCTTCCCTGCAGACATTCAAGGTCAGGCTGGATGGGACTCTGAGCAACCTGATCTAGTTGAAGATGTCTCTGCTCACTGCAGGGCGGTTGGACTAGATGACTTTTAAAGGTCCCTTCCAGCCCAACACATTGATGATGGGAAAGCCCTTGCTGTCTACATAGGGACTGGACACTAAAATATTAAGCAAGCCATGCCTGGACCTAGGTCATGTCAGTTTGATCACCAAAGAGAAGCTCTGGTATAAGACAATGTCAGGTGGCCCAGTTTTACCAGTAGCTGATATTTTTTGCCTTACCGTGAAGAAATCGCAGAGAGTGATGTGTGGAAAAATCTCATGGGCTCTGTTTTTCCCACATTGGCGCTTGCTCTCCTTCCAAAATTCTTGCAGGTGGTTATGCAAAGGGCCGGTGGGACACAAGTAAAGAGCATACTCTTGAGGGATTGGGTCTTCCAAAGAGGGATCATTGCAGTGTGAGTGCAACCTGAAATCAAGGTATCACAGAGAGTGTGTGCACATCAGTTACTCTTGTTTCCTGTGGTTGAAGGTACCCATAGTAGACCAGAAAGAGGAGATACAAGGTTGTTATTTTCTTACAAATGAAAAGCTAAAATAAAAACTCCTTGCAATTTTTCTTTCTGAAGCACTAATAGAGAATGGTGGAGTTTTTTACACTTATTTTTTTGTACTTTACATTTTATTATGCATCTTCACTTCTTGCAATGTCTGAAAATGAAAGACAACAAAAAAAGATATTTTTAAGATTCTTTTTGGTTACTTTTCCTCCTTTTTCATGACTGGAAACAGAGGACTGGAGGACAAAAGAGAAGCAATAAGTAGAAAATGTTGAAGAGGGACAAAATTAAAATGACCAGAAAATTTAAAAAATATTGAAAAAGAGCTAGCTTTTTTATTCAGCCCTAATAAAAGAAGACAAGACAATTAGAAAATGCACAAGCAAAGATCGGAAACTCATATCCCATGTGATAATATCCTTCACCTTGCTCTTCATATGCTGTTTAATTTGGCTTCACAGCTGTTGGACTGGGAGTGATTGTTGGAAAACATGGTGAATCCCTGACAAAAATTATTTGGGAAGATCATGCCATTCTCAAATATCTCCTCTGACTTTTTAAGGAAAAATAAAAAAAAAAAGGAGAAAAAACAATCAAACCAAGTGAAAAAAATACCAAAACCCAGAAGAAAGTACAAGAAAATACTGGATTTAATTTGAAGGTGGATTAAAGAAAAAAAGCAACTACCAGCATGAGAAAAACATCTGTGAGATTTTACTCTGATACTCTGTGAGATTCTCAGTACAGAGAAAAAAACTTTATAGGAGTCGACTAACAACTGACTTTGACTCTAATGATACCTCCCTCTGACCATCACCCTTTTGACTTAATTTATAATGAGACTTTCTCGGGAGAAGAAGACAAGCCGTTGGCTTTCAGTTGTTGATGTTTAAGCCCATGTTGTTACCTCAGGCATTTGTAACTGCATCGATGGATTTACAGCTATTTTCCCTGTTCCTTTCCTCCTTTCCTTCGGGATGAAAAGTCCAGGTTTCCCCCTCAAGCCCTGTGCCCACTGCCCACAGACGCCAAGGCAGGGAGGACATGTACCCCATGGGCATTTCCTAGCACTTTCCCAGACATGTCCCCCAGTGCGTGCCCGCAATCCGGCCTCAGAGCCTGGGAACCCCTTGCAGAGACAGTGAGCAGACCTCAGCAGCCACGACCATAAATAAGGAGGAGGCTTAAAACTCAGGAGAATTTCCTACCCACAGCAGCTGGTCCCATGAACTGACTAATATCACTGTGGTAAAAGTAGCTGCTTCAGCCTGAGATTGCCCTGCCCTACCCAGAGAAGGAATCCTTATTCTGCAGATAACCCTGCTTACCAGAATAAGTACTGAGCTGAAAAAAAAAAATAACTCAGATGCAGGGTATTTTTGAGCGGCAAACTTTGGATTCAGTGAGAGAATCAGCACATGAAAAGATTTTTAGCCAAGCTTAATGTGAAAACACTTCACAGAAATCACAAGTACTTACCACTTCGTAGCTTCTTCTGTTGTCTTTTGTCCAGTGGCAGCCAAGGCTTTTTGCCTAGAACAAAATAAAATGGATTCATCAGAATAAAAGCAAGAAAGCTTCCAGACAATAAAGAATGAGCATGCTGTGGTCCCCAAGTCTATTTTCCAGCACAGATAGGACGTTTAACAACTAGGTTATTTCTAGCAACTATTACTGTTCTTGAAGCCTTCCAGATAGTTTTTTCCACTGCAATTCCTTGAAGACCGGTAACTTGTCTTCCCCACACGATGCCCTTCTTTGCATTCTGGATGTGTTTCCTTAGCAGCCCTACAGCTTGTATGGATTTCTTCAGGGTTGAGTAAACCATTTGTACACACACTGTAAGAGCAGGGTTTACTCATAGGATAGCGCTCTCATTCAAGATGCCAGGCCCAAAGCCATACATAAAAATGAAGTAAAACATACCTATATTGGGGTTTGAAAATATGGATTGAGGATTTGTCATGCTGGTTCTACATTATGAAAGATTTTGCAGTGTTTCTGCCTAGCCTTGTTTTTCTCAGGCCAGGATATCTCAAAAGAACAACTTTTCAGTACTTTTGTTTATCGTTCAATCTAGAAACTGCAAAGACAGCTAAAAGGTTTTATAATAACAAACAATAAAATAACAATAAAAATTTATTGAAGGTCTTAAAGTCAATAAAAGCAAATAAATTAGGAAATAAATTGCTTTTGGACATTTTGTCATTTTACATCTATTTGCATGGTACTTCTGCCTCTGCTTCTTGATTTTGACCTGAGAAGCACAAAGTCATCTCAATAACAGTAGAAACTGTTCTGAAGGGGATTTCAAGAACATGATAAGTAAGAGAAAAAATTAAAAAAAAATAACCAAACTTATAGTATTACTAGAGAAACAGTGAGCTTGGTTTTGAGTTGCCCTGCTAAAATTTCACTCTGCATTACTGGGAACAAGAGACCCCATGGCTTCCTTTTAACCTGCGCCCATGGCTAAAGTTAATCTGCTAAACGCAACTGTTCCTAAAAAAACACCACAACATTTACAAATGGAGCCTTTTCAACTTGCTTAATTTTCAGTCAAAAGGGAGAGATATCGATCTCTTTTCTAAAGTATATTTATGAGGGATTTTTTGACACTTAAATAAAAAGATTTATTTTTTGAACAGTTTGAACTGAAGGGTCCATACTTCCCTTCAAAAGTCAGACTATCCTCCCCAGAACTTCCCTCGCCAGAGTGATGTTTGAGGGAGGACTGACCACCACATTTCTTTTTTATTAGCTTAATTAGCTGTCACCATTTAATCTCTCAAGAATAGTGCCTCGTTATTTACTATTATATTTTGCAAGTAGGACATGCTTCTGAAACAAGATCCCAATTCAAGACAGGAAAAAAATTGACAGACATGTGGCGTCTTGTTAAGGATAGTCTACTCTTTTAAAATAGTTTCCAGTGACAAAATCCAGCAGGAAATCTTTGCTAGGCCTGAAAAAACTTTGGATAGAAGTTACATCTACATTTACCTCCCTTATAATAACAGTGATAAAGAATAAAAATGAAAGAGAATATATCCCAAAAGCAAACTATGGACATCAGCTTCTTAACTCATCATGAAGCCTCTCAACTTGAAGACATGAAAGGGCGTGTGTCTTCAGATATACAGAATATTTATAAAAATGAATACAGAGCAGGTTGTTTTTTGCAATAGGAACATACAAGCTGCTCTACAAGAAATTCAAAGCATGAAAGGTCTGATCCCTGTACAGAGATATCTCCCCCAGGAAGCAGCATGTTCTCTTGATGAAAAAATGTGTGAGGAAATACCTCTTGCATCTTAAATGTCTCTGTCACGAATAAGTGATTTAGATCACTTAAAGAACCGCCATCAAAGCTGTTAACAGAAGCAATTTTAATTTGATGGTGGTTACTGTGCAAAGGCAGCCAAACATACTACTCACGCAATATGAGCTGGGAATCCTTTGGTGAGGAGAGACTCGAGGAGTACGGAGGGGCTTTTGCTCCTGTGCTTGTTGGACACCTTTGCGTACAGCTGTGTCTCAGCCACCGCCATCTCCTCTGCTCTTCCCCTGACAGTGTGCCGAGGTGGGAGGAGGGTGCGAGGGAAGGAGGTAGAAAATGAGAGAGAGAGAGAGAAAGAGAAAGAGAAAAAGGCAGCTAAAGTAAAATAAAAAAAAACCAAACTCGAAACCTCTTGTGATCTTTTCTAACAAAAGCTGACATCCTGTTTTCGTAGCATCTACATCTCTGAATTTTTGTTCTAGGGTGGCTAAAAAGTTAATGCTATCCGTAGGCTTTTCCCACCTACCTCAGCAGAACAAGACTAGTAGTCTATAGGGAAACACCACAGTCAGGGTGGACTTGCTGAAGGGTCTGAGATGGGATCTTTTAGCCCCCTATTTTAAATTGCCTTCTGAAAGCCAAGAAATCCACCTGAGCTGCTACTACAATGTAGGGGAGGTGAACAGGATTGTCCCGCAGTGTGTGAGAAGTTAGTTTGTAGGTCAAATGCTTTCCTTTTGTGCTTGATTTTCACGTGCTCCCATCCCTATAGTACGTGGCTCCTGCTCTGGTCTTCTCATCAAAAGATGATGAGCCAGCCAACTGCGTGGTATCAAATCCAATGCCCCATCTAGAAATCATACCCTAAGGCAAGAATTGGAGCAGGATAGGACATCTCGCTCTCTGGGCTGAAAGAGTCACCTGAGCTGCTGGTCTCTTGAACTGAGCTCTTACTTTCCCCTCGTGGCTGAAGTTCCCAGTGGGGCACCTGGCCCGTTTGGAAGTCTTCTCACACCATTTGTCTAAGAAACTTGGTGGGGATTGTGTCAGAGCACTGTGAGCAGCTCAAGCGCTCAAGAAGTGCAGATTTCATTATATATCTTTATCTGCTTTTTTTTTCTAAAATAAATAAATAAATTTGTCCCCCTGTGTTTCCCATTTCAAGGGAAGGCTGCTGAAAGAGCAGTGTGAGAGATGATGAAGAACTCTTGATGTCACGGCCCAGATATGAGCAGTTAATAGGATTGTGATGTTCCATCCTCTTCTTTGGAAGTTCCAGTTTACACTGTGCACAACAAAGGAACCAAACATCTTCCCTCATCACAAGCATTTTCCAGGGAAGTGGGTTTTGTCATGGAAAACATTAATTTCTGCCATGGCCTCTCAACCTTGTTTAACTTACACATGGCTTTTTATTTCATTTCTCCTCCTACTTCTTCCCTCCCCCCTCCTCTCTGTCATGAATCTCTTTTCTTAGGAAGAAAAACCAAGCCAAATTATTACTACTCTTGAGCATTTTATGAAGCTGAGCATGCATCTTAATTTTCTAAATCCCAGAGTACAAACAAGTTGATAATTTAGAAGGATGAGATGCTGCTTGTGAAGTATTTCCAAAATCTTGTATAATACTTAGTTATAAAAGTTATCAATGACTAAGGCATGGGTCTTTTTCCACACCTTCTTTAACTGTGCTCTTTGCTGCAAGCAAAAGCTAAATCTGGTTTAGCAAAGGCTAAACCAGGTGAAGGAAGAGCAAGGTGAGCTTATGGACCTTGTGTGCTGAAGAGATGGAAAACACAGAGGTCTTCTGCCTTCTGCCACCTACAGCTCTCAGCAGACTCCTCAACTGCATGGCTTTTTGTCAAAAAACCGAGCAAGCGTGAGCCTGTGCAGTTTGTGGTGCGGGGCTGTGGAAAGGTTTGTGGTGCGGGGCTGCAGGAAGGTTTGCAAATACTACAGTGCTACCTGCTATTCTTAGGCTAATTAAGAAGTGTGTTGAATTTTTACCTTCCCCTTTCCGTAGCTATGCCATCCAGGGCAACCCGATACCCCTCGCCAGGTTGAATTACACGGGCGGCTGCCATAACGCCGTATGCAACAGCCGACTGAACGGGTGGCTCGGTGAAAAACCTTTCCAGAGCAGACTGGCTTACCAACCTCAGACTTTCCTTTGGGTTTCTTTTGATAATGAAGAAAGAAAACGGTTTTGCTTTTAACTATGACTTCTCAGGAAGAGGTGAGTGGGAGCTTTGGGAGCATGTGATATCCTCTAAATAAACGGCACATCAGCATTTAGCTTTCATGTATTATACCTCACAATGCTGTTTTGTTTCCTAATGGACACTTTACACACCAGTTAGAAGGCTTTTTTTACATATATATATTTAAAACTCATGCACAGCAAGCTATCCTTTTCTCTGACTTCAAACTATCAGATTCTATACAAAATTTAATTTCTGTTCATTGAAGTGTACATGAAATTTTATCAAATGAAAGAGTAGGAACCTTATTGCAGTTGTCTGTTGAAAGGTGAAAGGATATTCCTGATGATTTAAAGACAGAGGGTCACAGACAAAACATGTGTTTTTTGCCTAAAATGTGTCATTGCAAGCATTTGCTGGGACTGACTGCAAACATGCTGCTTTTGCAGCTTAGCAGCTCCACTGTCTTTAACAAATCTGGACCTATTTCACACCACTGTGAACTCAAAAATCTTGTTCCTTTTGCCAGTGACAGTGTGCAGAATAAGAGTCAGAAATAAGCGTTTGAAATCTATTTACCCTGTAGCTTGTATTAATTGTTTTCCACTGTGTAGACAGTGATCGAAGGTTTTCTGGAGTAAAATTCAATGGGCCCCTTGTTTGAGGATCCTCTCAGGTGTTGTGCAGGTGTCGTACGCTTTTTAGTCTTTCTCTTGTTTCCTATTGCAATTAAAGAGCAGGGAGTGGATTCACCCAGTGCGAGTTATTAAAAGCAGCTATAGTGCTTAGACAAATTTGAGTCAAAATTACTTTCAGTGGTTTTCTCATAATTTAATTGTAATAGCTCCTTTTATGAACAGTAAGTATGTAACTTAATGTACTATGTCCAGCTTTGGAGTCCTCAGCACAAGAAGGACATGAACCTGTTGGGGCAGGCCCAGAGGAGGTCCACAAGTATGATCAGAGGGCTGGAGTACTTCTCGTGTGAATTAAAAGCTGAGAAAATTGGGGTTGTTCATCCTGGAGAAGAGAAGGCTTCAGGGAGACCTTATTGTGGCCTTTCAGTACTTACAGGGGGCCTACAGAAAAGCTGGGGACAATATTTTTAGCAGGGTCTGTTGCAATAGGATAAGAGGCAGTGGTTTTAAAGTAAAAGAAGGTATATTTAGACTAGATACAGGAAGGAAATTTTTTACAATGGGGAAACGTTAGAACAGGTTGCCCAAAGAGGTGGTAGAAGCCCCATCTCTGGAAACATTCAAAGTCAGGTTGGACAGGTCTCTGAGCAACCTAGTCTAGTTGAAGATGTCTCTGATCACTGCAGGGGGTTGGACTACATGACCTTTAAATATCCCTTCCAACCTAAACTGATTCTATGATAACATTTCACAAGGTGATTATATATATATTTTTTTAATTTTGCTCTTGTTGAGTCAGGTGCAAGAGACAAATCCCACTACTGCAAGTCTTGAAATCATCTCTGTTACAGAAGATGAACCACCAGTACCAGAAGTTCAGTTTTCCTTCAAAAGATTCTTCTTCATACCACAAGCAAAAGTGGACCCCAGTGCAGATGGATCTGGTAGGGATGCTGCACAGCTTTTTGACCTTTATAGTCTAAATGGCTAATGTAGATCTTCAGCCTTGCAAAACTATGCTTGCCCACTCAGTCAGAGGAAGAAGAAACATAACCTCACTCCCCCAGCTGCGAGGTTTGCCAGCATATTGAGAGGTGATGACATCTTGTGTCGGCTTGCATATGCAAGCATTTTTTGCAGTCAGATTATTCATACACTTCAACCACACAGCAAATATTTACCCATACTTTTTCAGACACATTTCTGAACATCTTACTTGAAATTTTACCTGTCTGGAAAGTGGTCTATTAAAAAACTAGATATACAATACAGTGCCCTTGAAGTAATAGCATGCCCTTCATAGATTCCATTTTGAAAATAAACATTAAGTTCCACAGAGGCAGGCTGAGTATCAAGGGTGAAGGTAAAGCAATTTAATTTTTTTAGTCCATTAGCTATGACATCTACCTAAGATTTTTCACACACTAGATACCAACTTCATTTTCAAAACCAGTTACTCAGCTGCTGCTGCAAGTTAGTCTGTGTAGGCTAGGATATAATTGTGTGTCTATAGGCACTGGGAGACAGCCCTCATCACAGACTGGTTCTAAGTGTCTGCTAATCTCAGATTCAAAGCTTGAAGCATAAGGGGGTGAAGAGCTGCATGAACTAAAATCAAAGACAAATTTCTGCCCATTCCTGTGTGTACCCATGACTGAGATGTGTATGCTATTTTCCCATAGTTTGCCGTTTGTATATCAGCATACATTTGAAACAAGTGAACCATTCATTATTTTCAGTGGAATTTGCTGTGGTCTTCCGAACCGACAATACCACTATGTTGAGGTCAGCTATGGTCAGGTGGCTGGTGAGCAGGGCTGGCGCAGATCATGAAATGTATTTAGGAATTACTACTGATGTATTTTAAACTTAGATGCATCTTTTTTCTTTGAAAACTCAAAACTCAGCCTTGCACTGTTGCTCGGTTCTCTCCTTGTTCTATAGCAAAACTTTGAACAGATCACCTTTTCCCACATTTTTCAAGACTAGTTCAGGGGTCCTGTTGTTGCAAATTTAGCTTTCTGTAATTTTGAGTTAACCTTGCTTCCAAGTCTGAAAGGACCAGTGACTTTCCTCCTTCTTGTCTTGAACACCTTTTTACTAGCAACCCTGACTTTTTCCAATATCCTTGCTCCTATGTGAATCTTTAGGTTCCCCTTACTTGTTTTCATGCCCCTCTTACCCCAACTCTGGAGGAAGACATCAGGCCTGCAACTTCGCTCCGTAGCACATGAGGTGGAACTTTGTGGCCTCCGGCTTCATCCCAGGATTTCTGTTGTCCCAGACAGTGCTCAGAGAAGTATCCAGCTAAGTCTATGGCTGGAGGGAATACTGGAACCATGGGCTTGGTACCAGCAAGAGTAAGGAGACATCACGGACGGGAATGGTCAGAAAGAAGAGACTGAAACTAGTTTGCTCTTTTCTACTTTCAC